GTGAAACCAGTTAGCACTCCCGTAAATAGTCTCTTCAAACTATCTAAGAAGCTATCGCCTAACTCTGAAGCAGAGTAAGCATAGATGGAAAGAATTCTGTATGCTTCAACATTTGGAAGTTTAATGTATGTGATGATTTGTACCAAGCCATATATTGCAGATGCAGTGGGAGTGGCCAATAAGTATATGAGAAATCCATACAGGCATAATTAAAAAAAGATAAAGTGGATTCTCAGGTATTCGAGGGGAACACTCAATAAAGCACTTTTCTATGGAAGTGCATGGATCGGTCTACAGGGCTTTGTAGATTCTAATCTGGCAGGAGATGTGGGCATTAGAAGAAGTACAATGGGATATATTTTCACATTGGGGAACACAGTGGTGAGTTAGGTTTCCAGGTTGTAGAAGGTTCTTGCATGTTCAACTACGGAGACCGAATATGTTGTTATCACTGATGCTAGCAAGAAATGATTTGGCTACAGAATTTCATGACAGAATTAGGCAGAATTGGGCAAGAAGCAGAAAATTGAAAAACTTTATGGTGAGAGTATGAGTGTGATTCATGCTGCCAGAATGAAACACATCCAGCTCAAGTATTATTTCATTTGATCTCTTCTAGAAGAAGGGTAGCTATTTCTTGAAAAGATGCTCACAGCTGAGAATCAGGCGAATATGTTGACGAATATGGTGACTGTTGAAAAACTGATGTTATGCTTGGCTTCAGTTGGTTTCACGAAGTTTGAGATCGAGGGTGATCCACACCGTTGTACATGACTATGAATTCAATTCAAATGAAGGTGAATGTACAGGGGACTAGTGCTCGATGTTATAGTCTTCAAGTGGAAGATTGTTGGGTTGTGGAGACTAAGCATAAGACATCTGACACATATGCGCCAGGTTGTGGGCGCTTAAGCGTCCACTTGGGTGCTCCTAGATCAGAGAAACCAGAGTCTATATGCCGGCTTTGGGCGCATATGTGCTCACTTAAAGTTAGGCACAACGGAGGAGAGGGGGGGGGGGGCAACGGCAACTAAAGCGCCTATTTTCCGAGAGCTTGGTGGATAGGCGCCAACTTCGGGCACCCATTCACCAGAAGCAGTTGGTCTTGGGATTTCTGGCTTTAATGTCAATTTTAAGCGACGAAAAGTTATGATTTGCTATTTCTTCCTCCGATATTCTTCGACAAGCATCTCGGTGAATGTGAGGAGTGTCAAAGAGGTTGATTTCAATGATTCGGCTTAATTTTTTGCGTCGGAGCGAGCCTTGTATGTTTTCTTTGTATGTGGAGAGAAAACTTGTGTGGGTTCTTTGTAAAACTTTCTAAATTTCATAGTGAAATTTTCTTGTGGAGTGACTCCGTTTTTTTTTTTCCTATTCTCAGGTTTTTCCACGTAGATTCTCGTGTGTTTTTCTAGTTACTTTGATTGTGCTTCCGTTTTAATTCTTCATTTCTGTTTTTTATCGAATTAGTGTGATCCCATTATTCCACAAGATAATTTAGTTTCTAATTGATTCTAAGCCCGGTAAAATTGGGAATTGTTAGTTGGAGATTTCCTATCACTAATTGTGATCAAAGCTTCAGTAATTTTCATTTGGTCTCCATGATTTCATTTTAGTTTAATCAGCTGCTATAAATTTTTTTCAGAACTCACTAACACTTAAACTAGTATCGACTTGTTTCAATTTTCCATCTGAAAGCTACGAGTTTTTATGATTTAAAACCGAAATGAGAACTATAAATTGAATCTTAGAAGAAACAATTTTTTTAGTACTACCGAGTCAAAATATTATGAAGGAATTAATACCTAAAAATAAATTTGAGTTCTGAACTTTGTCAGCAAAGTGAATTCAAAACATAGAAATACAAAAGTGTTTTCCTAATTAAAATAATTTTTTCAAGTAAAATAATTATCACAATTAAAGCCTTGTATTACAAATGATTGTCAAGGGACTGAGGAAGCTGAAAATATCTTCTCTCCAGAAGGACAGGAGATTAGATGATTTGCAGCCACACCACTATGTGCACTGTAACCTTTCATATTCTTATAAACAAGAGGACTGTGATGTACAATTTCTTGGCAGCTTAAATTCAAAATCCCTTCAGATATGCAACTTAAAATTAATATTCAAAAAATGATTCTAAATTTATTTTGTTCAACATTCTGTGTACGTCACTCACTTTGGATTTTATTTTAGAACTTATCAAGATGGGTGTAGATAATAATGAAAATTTTCAATGCATGTTGAATTTGTAGGGTGCATTAGAACTGGGTACAAGTTTACTAAGTCAATTCACATATAATTGGTTGATATATGAATTATTAAAAAATGGATTTTTCACTTGTTTTTTAAGTTATGTGAAAATTATTGTGTATACTGTTATGTGTTGGAAAATTAATCTTTTATAATGCTTTTGGCGGTCGGCCCTCTGTGGTTAGCACTCTCAGAAGCTTTTTGAACATATTTAAAACTTTAAACAAATGTCAAATCTAGCAAACCTGTAATCAAATCAAGCATCTCGACAAGATGAATTCAACGGGCTCAAGATTGCTCAAGTTCGACATTGTTCAGGCACTAAAATGTACAGCAAATGTCATCTGATCGAAGAAAAACCTTCTGACAATCCGATCAAAGTGGTTAATATTTCTGCATTCATTACATCCAGAAACACTATAAATAGAACATCAACCCTCTCATGAGAGGGGGTTGGAGGCTTGAGAAAGAACTTAAAGCTTTGAGAATGAGCTGAAGTCCAGCACCACCCCTGTAGACCTATGTCTGCCTTCAAGCATTGTTAACCACCGTTGATACCTGCCGATCACCATTGATCACAGCCAACCTCTTTCGATAGTCGTCGACCACTGTCGACCGCCGTCAACAACCACCGATAGTTGTCGACCGCCACCGACCGTCGTCGAGCACTACTGTCTTTGTCAACCATCACCGACCGTTGTTGATCGTTTACAAACGTCGATCACTACCAATCACCGTCAACCACCGCCGATAGGATACCGCTGGTCAACGTAGTAACTTAGAAAACCTAGTAACTCTTTCCCAAGTAATCTCTATAATCATCAACCTGTAATAGATTTTTACATTTGCATTGATTCCCGTGATTTTTCCCTTTACGTGTTTTCCGCGTAAAAACTTCTGGCATCGTTACTATTTTTTTTTTTGCTTTTACTTGAGTGTGTGTTAACTTCTCGTGCAATGCTAAGTCGATAAACAATTACTCTATCGTCGCGAATTTTATAACACTCCATCAATATTATTGGTTATCTTCTAATTTTTATGATACACGCCATATGATCAATCTAACTTTATATATCAAAAATACATAAGATAAATTTATAGTTTTTTTATTCTAAATAATATATGAAAAATTATATGATGCGCATAATATGCTTTTAATAATTTCCCACCCCGTTTTCAAGGAGCATGCACCATCCTCAAGAGTAACTTAGGGAGCAAACAAAGGAATAGCCATCTGACTCAGAAGCGCGCCCGGACCCACCCAATCATAAATTTCTCTCCCCCACACGCTTTCCACTGCCTCTCCCCCTCGGAAACTCTCTCTCTCCCTCTCTCACATCACGTGATCCGGCGGTTCACTTGTAACTATGAAACCAATATGAACCATCGTGTTTAGTTCTCCGTCCTATGTTTCCGACGTTGTGGGACTCTTCCAAGTCCTTATAATGTTCCAACAATACTTAAGATGACTCTCACTACTTTTCTTGGGTTGTATTAGTCATAATATATACATTAGATTTAGTTTCGGGGGCATTTGTATAGACATTACATGCATAATTCTTATGTATTTAGATATTTAATACCAAACTTTTAATTTTTATACTAATAACATCCAAATTTCTTTATCACATAAAAAAAATTATTATTATTAGTACATTTTTAAAATTGAGTTGCACCCTTTTAATAAGCATATGTAAAGTGATAATGACACAAAAATTAAAATTTAGGTGTTAGATATATAAATACTTAGTAATTGTGTGATGAATGTAAATCTTCCTTCATTTTGTAATGATGTTTCGTGCACCTAATGCTTTCAATTGCATTGTAATCACTCCTTTAACCGCATTAAAATTAATATTATAAATAATTTTTTAAAGAAACAAGACTTAAAAAATTGGTCATTAATTCACACGCACAGATATATATATA